CAGCACATCTGCGATTATTACTGACCCCTTTTTGAAGGCATGTTGAAAACACTATCCTAAACATTATCAAGCAGCAAACTGTTATGATAGCAAGATAAAAAGAGATGTCCATGATTAGAACTTGTCTTAAAAAGAAATTAATCTGCTATTAAATATATAATTAACAGATTAGTTAGTGTTAAATTACAGTAGACATTTCAGTGCATGATACAGCAATGCCTTACATATAGTTATATCCATTAACCTTATGTCTGTATTTCCTCTTTTAAGATGTTCTTTTAGAGACTACTATTCTGAAACTTTTTTATTTATCCTGTCAGACAGTGTCAGATACTTTAGGCCACCTTTTCAGATGCTCTGAACATTAGCAGCTTCCACTTGACTGAGATAGGAAGCTTGGATGTTTAAAAATTATGGGAGAGAAATCTTGGGCAACATAAACTCCAGTAATTCTCCCCTCTCCCTCACAGGCATAAAACCACTATTAAGGTACAGTTAAAAAACCCCTACAACCTCATCGTGAGGCAAAGTGTCACATTTTCCATGACTCCTAAAGAAAAACTCCAGTATGAGCGCTCCTACTCCTCTCTTGTGTGTAGCTAAGCAGACGGAATTGAAATAAGAGTTTACTTCCCTGATAGAGAAGACTTCCCCAGAACTCAGTGAGGATAATTTAAAAATTATGGAAGTGGGGAAACTAAAAGATGCCTGCAGGCATTTTACAATGTAAAAATTGTATTTGTCCTTACATAGGAAGAGAATGGCCACACTGGAAGCAAAAGCAAATGGTTACATTTTAATTTGCCTACCATTTCAGCCACTAATGATACAGCCTTAAATGCCTGAGTAGTAGGGTATCATTAATACAGAATTCTCTATTAAAATGAATTTGATTTTAACAGGCAAGGTAACATGATGAACTAAGGGATCTCTTAAGAAATCTTGTCTTTTTCCTTTAAGACAAAGATAACTTGCTACTTTTCCATTCAAGATCAAAGAAGGGAAATAATACAAGGAGACAAACACGGAAGAAAGAGACAGAACATTTGAAGCTTCAATTTTCTCTCTAACGCTTTTTCTTTTAGATCAGTACAATCACTAGATTCACCCTATAGAGAAAGAAGATTAAAAAGGCGAGGTTATATATGGCCGAAAAGAACTCTGGGCAACTTTGCTGATATGTTTAAAGCTACTGTACTTTACAATTCTTATTTCAGAAGTAAAATGATAAACAAAAAACAAAGCACTTTTAATCTTCAAAGCAATGTATGATCAGTAACTACTTCATAGCACTCGATATTCAAGTATCATAATCTGTATTTTACTCCAGGAAAGAAAGATGTGTAGAGAATAAGTGATCTGCCTGGGTCTAATGCTGAACCAGGGATGGAACTCAAACACCACAAGCTTGCATGTTAAACCACAAAACTTCATTTAGGAGTTGTTCTTTTGTTACCAGTTTTTATTTGAGCAAATGATTATTCTAATAAATAGATTATGGACTTTTTTCCAGCCCTTGCAGAAACATTTGAGATACTAGTGGAGGTACATCCCAGGATTATTTGGCAAAATATTTAGCACAGCACACCAGTTAACTTACTATGCCACTGAAATTAATCTAACCTCTTCAAGTACGTTACTTAAATAACTATTTGCTAGGGTCAACATATGAATAGCTTCGTATTGGCAACAGCTTCCTTGTTAAATTACATTTATAGTCGGGGCACTCTGCAGGACATATCCAGTCTCTAGGTTATAGCTAAGCTTTCTGACCCTTCACAGCTTTTCAGAAGGGAAGTCTAGCTTGGCATACCGAATCTTGCAATAATATTAGTCATTGATCTCAATCTCATCTTTGTCCGTCTAAATCACGAGAGATCTTTCCAAGAGCAGAAGCAGCACAACGTTAAAAAGATACTCAGTCAAGGATCAATTTAATAGGAATTTTACAACTGCCTGCAGTATAGAAAGTTTGAAAAAATCCTCTAATATTTGCAAGTCAATTAAAAAAAAAAAAAAGAGTTTCTCCTGGAAATGTACACCTCTCAAACTACAAGGAAAAAGATTTCCATATTACTGTACTGTAAACTTACAGTGATCTGTGGGAGTGCTGAGAGATTTAATTTACATACTAATGCTGCAAGCAGATTGAGGGGTGTCGGGGTAGAAGAGTTACTTAGCACCAGTAATGAGCAAAAAGGAAAAGAAGAAAGCTACAGTCCCCATGGACTGTTTTGTTTTCAGTAATTTTAGACTGTCTAATAAAACCTTTTAATAAGCTGCTCTCAACTATAAAGCTGCAATCAGCCTTTGTCAGAGAACATAATACTGCCCCAGACAGGAAAATAGTTCTGATATAATGGACACAAGAACCCATCTAAATAAAAGCTGCTTAAAAAAAAACAAAAAGGAGAAAAAAGTTCCATCAGTGAAAGACATAAATTATGCTGTCTATACTGTATATCCTTTCATTTCTAAAATACTAGATTTCAAAAGGATATCTATTAAAGCCAAATTCTAAAAAACCTATTTTCTGGTTTACTCTACTCTAGTCCTAGTTTACAATTAGACGAACTTGCTTATTTACAGAGTATTTATGCCCTGTAAGTGCAATCTAAATTATGACTGATCATGTTAATTTTGTTTATAGTCTATGCTACCCACTTAGTCTCTAAGTGACTACTATGAGACACTGAGATTAACATTGCAATAGCTATCTAAATTTAAGACTATTTCCATTCCACTCACTCAATTTAATGGCAGTTCTCACTGAAGCTCAAGTCTAGCTATAAAAGCCTAAGATACATGTATGATAGGTAAAACACAGATGTTCTACTCCATTAAACACAGGATTCCTCAAAACAGCGGGTCACCTTCACTGCTGATAAACGCAGGTCCAACTCCACTGTTGCCAAAAACAGTCATGCCACCATAAACTGGAACTGAAGCTACCCAAAATTTGGGTTTAAAAGTTGGTTTATAAGCCATTACTAATCCTAAAAGAATTCAGTATCATCCATTCAGTAGATGTATTTCTTAATTTTTATAATTCAAAGCACTAACAACATGGAAACAAGATCACTTTTTTCCTAGAAATTCTTCTGATCTTTCCAGTATTATCACCATCCTTTTCTTCCCAGCAACAGACTTACTGTGATGGCAGTTACCACATTTTACAGATCAGTTCAGAAACATGCCTAAAACTTAAATAAGACACATAGTCAAAAAAATACCCAATCACTAAAACGAGCACAAAATCTGTTTGTCCTGAAGATACACCTGTCACCTTAGCAACATTGGTAGAGAACTCTGTTTAACCTCTTTTTAATGTCATTTGCTGGAGAGTTAGCATAAACCACTGTGGCATTTGGTTATTGTACTTTGCTATCATTTAAGGAAAAATAAATTTATCACTTAGAAAAAACAGAAAATTTGTGGAGTTTAAGCAGCAAAATGGTAGCTTTCTTCTCTTGATACATTTCTGCCCCACCTTATGGGAAGGGGAACTGACTGTATCTGTGACTGGCAAGTCACACTTTCTCTGAGGGGTGCCAGATAATAATAGCACATCAACACACTCACAGCCAAATGCTCCTTTTGCCAATGAGATTTCATAATGCTTCCTCCACTTCTGAAGCTCTCCAAAGAAAGGAAGTGCTAACTCCCTGTTAAAACATATCGTCCAAAGGACCCCAAACTGTCTAATGTTTGAACTCTTTTTGCACAGAAATAGAGTGAAATTACTTTTTTTTGCATGAAGTTACTTTTTTTTTTTTGCATGAATTTTTTTTTGCATTTTTTTTTTTACTGCTAGAAGCTGTAAGCTGAACAGATATGTCTACATGCAGCTACACTGTGTTAAAGAACTTACGATTTACTGCTTCTAGTTTCAGACAAAGCAACAAAGGAAATGTCAAATTTTTCTCCTCCTTCTATTCAGAGGAAAAAGATACAATTGTTAATAGCTAAGATGACCACAGAAATGGTTTTGGCTTCTATCCATATCCTTTTCTCTAGCTAGTGGTAAAATAAGAAGGGGAACAGGTATGAAATTCAATTAAGAAATGCCTCTTTTCTTTTGGTTGCCAGTATCATTAGATCAGCACCTGAATATATACCAAGGGTAGAGCAGACCTGAAATGCACATTTCTCAAGCTGAAAAAATTCTCAGTGAAATATAGGCTTCCAATCAGCTCAGACAAAATGCTAACAAGTACTGAATTAAAGCGTGAAGCTGCCAGTACTTTAATAATAAGATCCCTAATACTGATTTTACAAAAAATAGTTTATCAGGAAGTTAAACACACATCTAGAGTCCCAAGTAGTTTCTCCACACTCAGAGCTAAAAACTCAACAAGATGAAATTTTAAATCGTCCTACACCCTTAGGTTATTCGGGATTCTAACTTCCCTGTGGAGGCACAGACCCTCCCCTCTTCACCGCACCACCATCTGATAAATAGACTGAGCAATACTTGCACCAATCATGTAACGAGAGCTTTTCCACCCTTTTTAATCTTGCAAGCTATTTCATGCTATCTCAGAAATACTAGGAAATAACGGTAGCATGAAGTTACACAGCCAGAGCTAAAGTAAGAGGTCACAGAAAGGGCTTCTCATTGCCATTTCCTAGCAATTCCCTGTCATTTCAATACACAAGGTTAAATTACTCCAGAAGCCTCCCTACAGGGCTTCCATTGTTTGTCAGTCAAGGCTAGGACACAATGGCACTCATTCATGTGCACACCAAACAAACAGCTAAGGGCCAATGATCAGCATACAGTCTCATTTTGGTTCTTCTGCAAACAGTTTGTAGAAAGATGTCATTTCAAATAAACTATGTCAATTTTTCAAAGCTTCAATGCATTCCTAGTATTAACTACTTAGTAGGGAGTCCAGACAAAAATTAAGACAACTTGAGAGCAACATGAAGAATCACCCAAAAAACCCACTCACTCATTAGGACTGCTCCTGAAAAAGATCTGCTTGCTACAACCACATGCAAAAAGATTACGTTTTAATAGTTAGAGAAATACACATTCAGAAAAGTTCAAAATAGCTGATTCCTTCCAAAGACAGTCATACCATGCTTTTGTTTTTAGAATACCACTTAGTGTTCAGCCTCAGAGCTTATGTTACTAAGGGGTACAGACACCAAGGTTCCAAAGTGCACTTAAGGCTGTTTACTTCATATCTTCTGGTTAAGAACCCAAGAGGGTTTAGGGTTTTTTGTTTTTGCTTTTCTTTTTTTTCCCAACATGTTAAAAATAGAAAAAAACAAATGCAATATGACATAAGTCCAATGCTGCCGATTACTGGAGAGACACAAGCCTCACGCACCTCTTCATTGTTTTGCCTTTTCTACTTCAAAACTTGCTAGAGCAAAGACTTTGTCTCCAGATCCTATGAGAGGAAAAAACATTTTCAGTAAGTATTAGTAGAAATTGTAAACTTCCTTCTTAGAAATCAAGTAAAACATTTGAGATCAAAAGAAATCAAACCTACATTTTGAAAACTAGAACACTTGAGCTAAATTAAAAAAAAAAAAAAAAAAAAAAAAGACGACATACTGGCTTGACTGGTCTGGCTGAGATGGAGTTAACTTTCCCCACAGCAGCCCTCCTAGTGCCATGCTTTGTATTTGTAGCTAGAAGGGTGTTGATAACGCACTGATGTTTTGGCTACCGCTGAGCAGCGCTGGCACAGCATCAAGGCTGTCTTGCCTCCAAACATCAGTAAGCTTGGGGTGGGCAAGAGGTTGGGAGGGGACGTAGCCAGAACAGCTGACCCAAACTGACCAGAGGGATATTCCACACCGTATGACACCATGCTCAGCAATAAAAGCTAGGAGAAAGGAGGAGGTGGGGGATTTGTTATTAAGGCATTTGTCTTCAGAAGGAACTGCTACATGTACTGAGGCCCTGCTTGCCAGGAAGTGGCTGGACATCACCTGCTGATGGGAAGTAGAGAATAAATCTTTTTGTTTTCCTTTGCTTCTGTGCACAGCCTTTGCTTTTCTTTATTAAACTGCCTTTATCTCCACCCACAAGTTTTTCATTGTATTTTCTCCCCCTGTCCTGCTGAGGAGGGGGAACGAGAGCAGCTTAGTGGGCACCTGGTGGCCAGCCAAGGTCAACCCACCACACACATACAGAGCTTCTAATGAAGTACCCTTTTGAACAAAAGGTTCTCACCTAGCTTATACTCTCAGGAAGAGGAGTACTGAAAGGTAGGTCACAGAGTCAGTTTATTTGTACCCTGACCTAGTCTGGCACGTTCCTGCTGTTCATATTTCTTTCATCACAGTTCTAACTGTAATGCTAGAATGAACCCTTGTGCTTATTTAATGCGTATTATAACTGAACTTTTGGTCTTCTCAGTATGATTAGAGTTATGACAATCATGGCAAGAAGAGTGCTTTGAAGCTGTATTTTGACAATGTGCCAGTAATTGCCAAATTCTCTGCATCAAGCAGAGGAAAAGGCTCTCCTGAAGAAAGTGATTAATGCAAAAGAGATCCGTGCTTAACTCTAAGAACTGCATCTCTGCTTGAGACAGACCATTCAAGCCTTCAGCATTATGGGCAACACTTGGCATTTATGGACATTTGGCACTGGATTTATTTGCTGCGTTACTTTTTCCTCATGGATAGTATCAGAGTTTCATTGCTAGTAAAATAGAAAAATGTACATCAAAATTTAATGGCATGAATCTTTTGTTCATATTTTCTCTTTCATAGGGGAATCACGGGTATTTCTATTAATCAGTGTTCAACGAGGCAAAGAAATTGGAAGTTATGAGAATGAAAACTTACCAAGGTCAGTGGAGACTCTCTCAAACTGGCTCAAGGCTGTACCAGCATTTGCTGACAAGAACATCTCATCATCTTGAGTGAGCTAAATCAAAAAAGGCCATAACTGTGAGCTTGGTGACTTAACTGTGCATATTCCCACCACTGTAATTCCCACCATCTACATGGGCATGTACATGAACTGTAACAGGTTACAGCGATTGTCAATTTGCAGTTTTTAAGTGGCAGTGCTATCTAACATATTAAAAGCCAAAGTAAAAATGCAAGCTACTCCCCCTACCACTGATTTTTTTCTCAGTGGCGTCTATCAGCCCAGGAAGGACAACATATGCAACATCAGACATGCCCCTCATGCACCACTAAGTTTCAAGCTGACCTCCAGTGATAATTGTTGATGAAATAGTCACTCTGTACCTCTGTACTAAAACTATGCAAAGGATGTCAATTATTTTTTTGTCACGTGGTCAGTGATGAGCTAAGATCTAAGCTCACTTCTTATCATCTGCTGAGGAAAGCGAAAATATGCAGTCACTACCAACTTTGACCATGTTAAGAGTCAATGACCTAGAAATGGTTCTCTTCCTTTAAAGTGACATTTGCACATGTATATTTTGCTTTTATGTACGTGCTCTGATGCCTTGTGACAGATGCCCATAAAATATTTACAATAATGAAGTAGTAACCTACATTTGGAAGGTTCAGATATTCTAAGTTAAAATTCGCTCATTTAAGTAGCCTCAGATATATATCCTTATTAAAGCAAAGCATAAGTGTGTCAAGCTATCCACAGTGTTTGTGTCAGTTTATTTATTAAAAATATAGAAATCGGGTACAGGCATTCAGAATGATGTTGAAATGAGGGAAAAAGTATTAGTTACCTGCCTTTGCTGTGCTCTGTAAGCAAGCATCTAACTACTTAACATTTTGCAGTGTTGTGCAGATAAACATGTAATACTTAACCATCATTTTTCACATTCACAACAGATGTGAAACTACTACCCTAGCAAGACCTCTGAAGTAGGTTACTGATCATTTTAAAAGATAAAAAGGCTATGTCAAAGCATGGTGAAATGGCTTATCTGAAGGGATCCAAGAACTCATGCCAGGAGGATTAGATATCTTCATGCCTTCAGTTCACAATCTTAACTAGCCTTTTAACCTATTTCCAAAACATTTTTTTCTGACAACCAAGCAATAAAAATACTCTGAGGGAAAGCATTTGCTAATATCATCTACTTGAAATGCAGGTCCTTTAAGTACTGCACTTGATCTTTTCCATTACATTCCCTCATTTTCTATGAAAGTTTAAGTACAGAGATACACAGCAACCTATTTTCTTCATACACCATCAATAAAAAGAAGTAACAACTTCTCTTCCTCCCTCTAGTGGTAAAAAACAGGGATTGTTCTGCGACTGATTTACTCATTGGGGAAACAATCAGTTTATCACTCATCTCTCCAATTTATTTATCTTACCAAAAGGTAGGTATTATCACCAATACAAAAGTTAGAAGATCAACATATGTCAAAAGTTTTGGATAATTCCTGCCAGGTGGATAGGTGGTAGTTAGCCAGTGAAAGACTTGTTTTGTAGCTTTTATAAATATCATCAACTTGTACTAGCTTATATGTGATTCATTCGTATGACCCACCAAAGAAAGCATTTTAAAGTAGAAACAGATATAGATAAATGTACAATACAATTTGGTATATGTTCAGTAGTAAGTGTTTCAGAAAGCTTAGCATTAAAATGAATGGACATTTATGCACTACAAAAGCAAGCTGCATTTTATTATTTGCTTATAAATAAAAGTTGTAATTTCTTATTTTAATGATTTCAAATTCCTCTTCGATACATCGATAGAAATTTCTATTCACCTAATTATCATACCAACACCTTACCTTCTCACCAAGCTTTCTGAGGGCAGTCAGGATTTCCACTTTCTGCTGTGTGTATAGGTCTCGTCCCAACTTCCCAACCATTAAGTCTCGGTCCATCTGTATACCGAGGGGGAAAATAAGTAAAAGTATTTAAGCTTCCCATTAGTTTCACTCAACATAACAGCATAAGCAATGCAACAGCCTAAAAATATCATCAGTAAGCATGGTACCCATGGAAGTAAGGGACAGAGCTACCCATAATTTAAAAGATGGCCATGAAGTTTTTCTGACCATTCTGCAAATACTCTTTGCACCTAACCTTAGCATTCTTGATATCTCCAAACTTGAATCTCTTTTAATCAAAAACCGCTATTCATTCAAAATTATGGATTCATGTATCACTGATATATGGAGGAATCACTTTTCATTTCACTTTATCTGGATCTCAAGTTCAGTCTAGATCTCAGCAAGATAGAAGATAATTCAAGAAATACATATTGTTGTCCCCATTACCTCAAGGAACATTTAAAACTGAAGAAATTCTGAAAGAGAACTTCTCTATCTCCCTAAGTTTTCTAACACATTTGTTGCTCTCCTTGCAATCATTACATATTTAAATCAGTCTAGTCAAATAAACAGTTTTTACAGTAAAACAGAAACTTTCACCTCTGCCAACCTTGTCCTCAATTGCCTTGGTTGTTTCTTTGCAAACATTCTAATTACTTCTGGAGTTTTAAATGCTTGGCTGATGGCTGCTTGTATTGCCTACAAGAAAAAGAGCAAGAATGACCAGAACTAATAGTCACAAGCTATAGCTGCATGACAAGATTAATGAAGGCTGCAAAGCATCATTAGTATCCTCTGCATCATTTGATAAAGAGAGCTTTTCTTTTTGCATAACCATGGAAGTGAGATGAAAAAATTTATGACCTTTATGCAGGGCTTGAAAAATCCACTAATTAGTGCAAGTACACTGAGAAAGAACTGTGAAACTTTTCATTACAGTCCAGGTCTTAATTTCTAATCATTTCGAACATCTTCCTGATATTAGCACATCACAAGTGGATGTGCTATGCTATCTTTAGCAGTTTTAATGCCCACACTGATGATTACAGCTCTTCTAAGGGTAAGCAGAATGTAAATGATGAGGTGAATCTCCTCCTGTTATTCAAAATCAACGTATCAAAGCTATTATGATTAAATCTCACCACAGTTATGTTTGGACAAATCATGATCCCTCTGGAAACAAACCCCTAAAACACAGGGCTCAGAAGGAACATTTTTAATGCTCTAATTAAACATTTGAAAAGAGAGAAAATAAATCAAAAGTTTGAGAGTCAGCATAAAATAAGATCAATTCACCAAAAGAACTTAAAGTTACACAGTCATTCCTACAGCCTTTTAATTTGGATAGGTATGAATCTCTGAAATACAAATCAGCAATAAAAGCATAGGAAATGCTATCTTTATGTTTTCTGACAAACAGGCATGAACTTTATTTCTCACAATATATATTGTCCTGGATTGTCCCTCACACCTTTTAAATTAATTTGTATTGTTTTATGTTATTTTCTAATATTAAGGATCTGATACATTTAGTCCCTGCAGTTTCCCACATTTTTTTTCTACAGTGTTATGGTTATAATTCTTCATTTTTTTTTTTTTTCTTTTAAAATGAAGAGACCTAACCAAGTTTTTGTATGTACACATATATTAAATAATAAAAACGTTAGATACATAGAACTAGCTTTCATATGTGCCTGTCTAAAAATTATAATGAACCACTTGTATCTATTTTCTGTTTCATTGAGTCCAGACAGAACGTGAGCTATTTTTAGTAACAGCATCCTTACCAGTTGCATCCCGCTGAGCTCATCCACCAAAGTCATATCCCCAGACATAATCTTCTTCAGGGAGTCATTGATCTCACTCAGCTGTTCTAGAGTTTCTTTTTTGGTCTCTTCATACTCATCTGCATCTAGCTCCTCTCTAAAGAGGATCCAATAAGACACATTAGTTCACAAGACTAAACCTGAGATGTAACATGGAGAAAAGGACATCAGGGAATATCATGAAGCATGCTTCCTCAGATAGCAATTAAAATATTCACATCACTTCAGGTTATTCTGCTCTAGCCCTCTTAGCTGTTATTTAGCTAATGCATACGTAGTTTTCCTGGTTTTGCACCACCTCTGAGCCACCCATGCACTTGTGTTGTTTGTATGAAGTCACTTGTATTAAAAAGGCCCCGACAACTACAAGATACTCAACACTTGGTGCAATATTTAAAAGTACGTTTTGGATCTCAACAAGAACAGGCAGTGAGATTGTCTTGTTCAAAGCTACGGTGAATGAAATTATCTGAGAAGCTCATCTTCTTACCCAAAAACCATCAAGTTATTCAGGAATAACTGATCCTGCTGTCTAAACCTTGCCCAATTCAAAGAACGACACTACCAACCATTAGCAGTTGTAATTGTTCTGGAAAAAAATATGTACTGCTTAACTGTCTAACTGGGGCAAGTTAGAATTATAGTCAGAGAAAGCATCTAAAACCACACAGGACGTTTAAGCGCAAGTACTGGAACAGGAAAAAACCCCTTTTCCTTGGTAATTCAGTCTATCTCAAATTTTATTAGCCCTCAAAAAACTAACACAAAATCACATGAAACACATCACATGAAAATGTTAGACAAACTAAAAAAAAAACACCAAACCAAAACCAAATCTAAACATCTGTAATTATAAGACAAAACAAAATAGATAAAAAAGCTATTTGTTAACTGCTATTAAAAAAGCCCATATGAAAATTGTGAATTCTGTGAACAGCTATTAAAAGTTAAGAAGTCACACTGAAATATGAAATTTCAAAGAAAACAGTAATGAGTATTTCTGCCCGCATTTTCCTCCAGAAGATGAAAAACAGAACACTCTTAATAAAAAGAAATGTTTTTAAAAATAATTTTTACTACCTAACACAAACACCCTACCTAATTTAAAAAACATAAAGCCACAGCAAAACACAAAACAAAAAACCCACAAGATTTTTGAAAGGTACCACTTTCTTCTGCCAACCACTTAAGAAAAATATTACTGTATAAGAGGAAAGCATTTATTACCTGCATTCCTCCAGATCTTGAAGCTGTTGCATTAATCTATCCAACTGCTCTTCCAAGTTTTGTTTTAGTTTACTGGTCTCTGTTGTTCCTCTTGAAGCCATTTTCTGTTTTCACATGAAAATTTTTAGTTGTTGCATGACACTCCTAGGAGAAAGAACATTTTATTGTTATGTATCAACAACTTAAAACTTATTTTAAAATGCTCCAAGTATCAAGAAAGTTATGCAATATCTTGATGAGGGAATGTCTAACCAAAACACTTGGAGACCCTTGCAGTGGAAATACAGAAATGGCAGGCTGGGTCTACAGGAAAGAGGCAGTTCACAAAAGTAATAACTCAAACAGCCACAGCACATAAAAACAAACAAGTTTGAAACCAAGCAGCAATTACTGAAATGCTGAGGTCCCGCTCTATGAAACAACAGATTCTACTCTTCAACTGCCCCTGGGGAAACTCTCTAAGAGACAACAACCCGGATGCAAGGTGTCTGAAGCATGCAAACACCTTAGACAGAGGCAGTTCACAAAAGTAATAACTCAAACAGCCACAGCACATAAAAACAAACAAGTTTGAAACCAAGCAGCAATTACTGAAATGCTGAGGTCCCGCTCTATGAAACAACAGATTCTACTCTTCAACTGCCCCTGGGGAAACTCTCTAAGAGACAACAACCCGGATGCAAGGTGTCTGAAGCATGCAAACACCTTAGACAGAATCATTAGCTGTAGAAAACTAGAGCACTCTAGAGGAAATCCGTGCTCTTTGGGTACCAAATAGTAGACAGCTAGCCGACGGTAGCGATCCACG